AGTTCTAGTTCTAGTTCTAGTTCTAGTTCTAGTTCTAGTTCTAGTTCGAGTTATGGACAGTTGTGAGTGCCAGGAATTGAACACAGGTCCTTGGAAGAACAGCCAGTGCTCTTAACCACTGAGTCATCTCTCCAGCCCTGATTCATGTTTTCTAAATAGTAGAATTACTGACATGGTCTTGTGCCTGTGGGGACTTTAGGAACAGTGAACTTATGTGTTGACAGTGCCTCAAAATCAGTTATATGAAAGGACTGTTGTCAATCCTGAGTTTCCCTGGGGTAAGATTCTAATGTTTTAACTCTTATTTCATGACAGTGGGTGGCTGGCCCTTCTTACTATGTGGAATATTTGATCAAAGAGTCACCATGTACGAAATCCCAAGCCAGCTGTTCTCTCCAGCCCTCTGACTCTGAGGTGGGTGTTCTTAACCGACTGTGCAATGTACACGTGTCCACAGGTCATCAGTACTTGTTGAGTGCAAATTACACTGGGATGTCACAAAGCATGTGATGCTTTTCCTTCCCTCAAGCAGTTAGAAACTGGGGAGGTCTTGATGCAGTGCTAGGATTTGATTCTAAGTGTGGTTTTCATCATCAATGTAATGTAATAGCAAAAATAATCATGAGAGGACTTGGAATACAGCCTGGTGTTCCATTTTTTTGGACCACTTTTCACAATAGAAAGGCTAAGTAAAATAAGGGATAGACACCCCCAAAACTATCAGAAATATACTGGGGATGTGAATCATCATGTTGTGTTGGAGCACAACTGGGCGAAGGTACTTTTCCTTATTTATTTATAATAAGTGTTCTATTGAGATACAGTTCGTGTACAACAAGATATATATCCTTTTAAAGTAGATTTTTGAGATATATATATATATATATATATATATATATATATATACATATATATATATGCCACCATAACCACCTCACATTTTTTAAAAAATATTTTTATTAGCTCTCAAAAGAAACCCATCTCCATCAATTCAACCCCCACTGCTGCCCTTAGACACCCCTAGAAATTATGAATCTGAGTTCTGTCTTAATAGCTCTGTCCATTTGGACACTTCACACAAATGGGATCATGCAGAGAATGGAGGTGGAGAGAGATATTTATTTGAACAAGAAACTGGACCAATGAACTCCATCTGACTAGCCAATGAATGAGATTGGTGAAGCGTGCCCCCCACAGACCTGCTCTCTGTGCATGCTCCACTCCATGCCAGCACCAGAAAGTCCGGCAGGTTTGATAGCTCATGAAATTCTAGCTAGTGTGGAATGTCCACACAATGTGTTCTTGCCACAGGTTTTTCTAGAAGTTTCTCTTAGAGCCTCTGAACCATGGAGATAAAGAGAAAGAAGGAATGTCTAGGCCACCATTTTTCTCTAATGGATTTTCCCACTGTGAGAAATTTCTGGGTTTCATGTGACCAAAGAAACATATAGAAGGTAGACTTTGAGGCATGTAGTTTCAGAGGGTTAGCATCCATGGCCATCATGTTGGACAGCACCGTAGCAGGCAAGTGGGCATGGTGCTGGAGCAGTTACTGGGAGCTTACATCTTGATCCACAAGTAGAAAGCAGAGAGCTAATTGGGTTTTTGAAACCTCAAATCCCAATCCCAGTGATACATCTCCTCCAACGAGGCTACATCTCCTAATCCTTCCCAACCAGTCTACCAACTGGGGACCAAGCATTCAAATCTGTGAGCCTATAGGGCCGCTCTCATTGGATTTACTATAAAATCACCACATAAGGATTTACTATAAAGAAGAAACTTAGAGATGTATGAAAAGAAAGTTTCAGTGCTAAAAAAAAATAGATTCAATCTAGTTGCTTGACAAAAGAGACTTTTTTAAATACAGAGAAATACTAGATAGCCATAAAGATAATAATTGAAGAAGAAAAAAAAAGACTATCAAATGCCATACAAAGATTTTTACAATATACTGTTCACTGAGAAAATAGTCTTAAAATATTATATGCAATATGATCATAGAATTTAAAAGAAAAATATACATGCATAGGGAAAAGATTAGAAGAAAGGGATCAGATTACAGGTAACGAGAACCATGCATGGAATTACAGGTCACAGTCCTTTCTTTCATTCATATAGTTCTAAATAATAATTTATTGCATTTATAATAAAAAAAAACCCACAATTTTATTTTCAAATAGACAAAAGGTTAAGGAACTGCGAGTGGTTTTGCCTGAGAAGACAAAAATTCATTCAGAATACATTAAGGACTGCTGTAGAGAAGAAAACACCAAGCTTCTAATTGGCCAAGGGCAGATCCAGGGCCAGGCAGTGGACAGTGTGTAGACACAAGGGGACCTTCCTAGAATCCACTGTTCCTGTTCCCATTGCTAGAAGCAAGCTGGACTCAGTTGTTTTTAGATAATTCACAGGGACCTGGCTCCAAGGCAGGAGCCGAAAAGCATGGCACAGCTGCGTGTCTACACAAGCTGAAAGGGAGGGCTGGCATCTCTGCTTACCAGTGACTTAATACTCACATGATGCCTTTCTTTCTTTTAGCCTGTTGGTCTTTGCCAAGGTTCTCTGAGCCAAACTTCTACAAGACAATTTCCTTTTAGATTTCACACCTTTGAAAAAACTGTCACTGTGACTTGTGAGTTTTTCGAATCTCAGGTATTTATCTTTTGGGAAAAAAAACCATTATTATCATTGTGTGTTTGTACAATGTAAGCATATTGCGCACGTGTGCCATGGCACACATGTGGAGCCAGAGGACAACATGGTGTCATTTGTTCTTCCTTTCTACCTTTACACAGGGTCTAGGGGGTTGAACTTGGGTCCCTGGGCTTAAAGGAGTGTGGTGTTTCCTATTGAACCCTGCCATTCTAACCCCCCTTGTGTTTTCAATGGAATCAGGTGATGTATTTCTAGGGGCCTATTTTCCAACCTCTTTTGGCTTTTTCCAAGCTCCAGAATCACTTTCCTTAGGCCACATAAGCCCACACCTATAGGAGAGAAACATATCCTACTGTTTTCGTTATGGCCCTGCAGAATAAGGGAGAATACTCAGGAACAACACAGTGAACTACACACTTGCATAGTTAATACACTTAAGCCTTCAAGGTGCTAAATCTGGTGTCTCCAAGAACCACACCAGGGAGAATCACTTCCGTGAAAATGTTCATTCTCTCTCCACAAACACTAAGTACTTACTGTGGGGTAGCCTGATCCAGTCAGAGAGGCTGCCTGGGCTTTTTCCCTGCTCTGCCCCTATGAGCACTGTTGCCACCCCTGATCTGTCTGGGTCTCGATACCCTCATCATCTGCCTGTTCTGATGTCTAAGACAGACCAGTGGGAAGACTTGGATGGACGGTACTATACTGGGTGTAGCACAAAACAAACGGTAAAAGAGGCCACCTGCTGCCACTCCTGAGAGCAAATGCAACTCCCTAGGGATCCTGAGAACATCCTTTAGCCCCTCTGACCTACTGCTCTGAAATGAAAGATCTCAAGTCCAGCTTCTGCAATTCAGTTGACCCCTATCTGTTATGCTGTTGATCTTTTTATCAGGAAGTCCATTCTTGTAGCTCAGTGGGTCTCAAGCTGTAGGTGGCAACACAGGGGTCACCTACGTATAACCATTGGGAAACACAGATATTTATATCATGATTCATAAGAATGGCGAGATTAGGTCTGGAGAAATGGCTCAGAGGTTAAGAGCACTGGCTGCTCTTCCAGAGGTCCTGAGTTCAATTCCCAGCAACCACATGGTGGCTCACAACCATCTATAATGGGATCTGGTGTCCTCTTCTGGCATGTAGGTGTATATACAGATAGAGCATTCATATGCATAAAATAAATAAAATGAATATTAAAAAAAGAATACCGAGATTATGAAAATAATTTTATAGTTGGGGGTTACTACAAGATGAACTGTTGTAAAGGGTCGCAGCATTAGGAAGTTTGAAAAGCACCGATGTAGCTGGCTCTAAGCGTTCAGAAACACTCCAAGCAAAGATGAGTGTGGTAACCATGCCTGTAATCCCAGCACTCAGGGTACTTGAGGTGAAGATGATGAATTTGAGCCTAGGCTATCTTAAGACCATGTTACAAATATGCAGTCACAAAACAACTGGGCCTGGTGTGGGTTATGGCAGGGCATTCCCTGTAGAATTCTGCATTTAAAAACATTGTCATTTCAGGCTCAGGTCCCTGGAGGTGAGAACCCTGCTGTTACTCAGGCCCCTAAGAAAGTCCCTCAGAAAAACACAGCAGTCGCTACCAGCTCCCCCTCCATAACTGCACCAAGGGGATCTATCCAGCACCTCCCTGACCTGGATGTTGAGAAGCCTGAAGACTCCAAGGGAGAGAGTCCTGAGGAAACCTTTCCTGTGCAGCTGGATCTAACCACAAATCCCCAGGGGGACACACTGGATGTTTCCTTCCTCTACCTGGACCCTGAGGAAAAGAAACTGGTGGTCCTGCCTTTCCCTGGAAAGGAACAGCGCTCCGCTGAGTGCCCAGGGCCTGCAGAGGAGAAGAACCCTCTGATTCTCCCACCCTGAAACTCTCTAACTGGGTTCCATAGGAGTATGGTCCCCTGCAGTAGATGGGAGGTGGTGGGAATTGGGAAGAACACAGATGATCAAATGTAGACAGGCTAATAAAGTGTGTCCTTCTGATGCTTCTCTATCTCAACATGTTGACTGGAAATGGAAATGAGACTAAATCCCCATTCTCGATGGCACTGGTTGGGTTTTGTACACTGGGTGGCATCCTGTATAAACTGCCCAGACTCCAACTACCTTTTCATTTCTCTTTCGTTTCTTAGAAGAATTCTTTTAACATCTTTACTTACACAGAACTGATATAATACACATAAACCAGAATGGCTATAAGGTCACTCAAAGATTTAATCTAATGGGTCTATCGAAATCTGAAGCTTACTGTTGTCACAAATACCCTTTCTGTAGCTTGTGACTATGACTTCAGTCTTTTCTATGATAAAAGGGCCATGTTCTTAGAAGAGGTACTATAAATAACCTCCAGCTTTCTTTTTGAAAATTATTTAAACATTTTTTCATACAGTATATTTTTTATCATTTTCTTCCATTCCCAGTCTCCTCCCAAGTTCATGAAGTTAGGAGTTCAAGTTTCTTTCCCTCTCTTAAAAGAAAGGGGGGAACATATACACAAAACCAAGTTCCTCCCAAAGGCACAAAGCAAACAAACAAAACCCAACGAGATCCCATGGAGTCCATTTTTTTTAACTACTCCTGAGCATGAGACCTGTCCTGGAGTGTGGCCAATACACAGTATCGCTCCATTGACGAAAACTGATTTTCCCTCTCCAAGCAGTTATCAATTGCAAACAGCTTTTTAGTTAGTGGATCCACTCCCCTTCTCCATGCTAGAATTTATCTGGCTTGAGCTTTTGCAGGTCTTGTGTATGATGGCCCAGACTCTGAGGTCATATGTGCTGTAGCCCTGGAGAATCTAGAACATGGTGTTTCCTTGGAGTCATCCACTACTTCTGGCTCTTACAATCTGTATTACTCTCTGCACATTGTCCAGTTCATGGGTCTCTGCGTTAATTACCACCTACTTCAAGAATAAGCTTCTCTGATGAAAGCTGAGCAATACTCTGATCTATGGGTACAGCGACATGTCATTTGGAGTCATTTTATCATAATGTTCATTTAGCAGAATAACAGTAGTAGGTTTTCCCCTGCGTCCCATGACCTATCTGGTCTTGGGTTCTTGGCCATGTTATATGGGTTCCATATAGTAGAGCAGGGCTATTTTAGGTCACAACATTTGAAGCTATAGAGATTGATGACAACTGTGTGCAGAGCACCTTCCAGCACCATGAATGCTAAGTCAGCAAGGTGAAGCTGCTATCTGAGCACCAGCTCAATCCCTCCGTGTTTGATAGCATAACTACTAATTGTTTTGTCTCTTAGTTCATTGAATTACTGTCTCTATATAATATTACATATAATTATATATAATTTATTTTTATTTTCTGTTCATTGGTATTTTGTCTGCATGTATGTCAGTGTGAGGGTATCACAAGCCCTAGAATTGAAGTTACAGACAGGTGTGAGCTGCCATGTGAGTGCTGGGAATTGAATCTGGATCCTCTGGGAAGAGCAGACAGTGCTTGTCTTAGTTAGTGTCCCATTGGTGTGAAGAGACATCATGACCAAGGTAACTCTCATAAAGGAAAAGAGTTAATTGGGGGCTGGCTTACAGTTTAGTTTATTGTCATCATGCGGGGAACTGAGAGTTCTACCTCTTGATCTGAATGCATTAGAAGGAGGCTATCCTGTATTCCACGCTGGGCAGAACGTGAGCATATGTATGACTTCAAAGCCTACCTCCACAGTGACACACTTCCTCCAACAAGGCCACACCTTCTAATAGTGCCACACCAATGGGCTAAGCATTCAAATACATGAGTCTATGGAGGAAGCCCTAGTTTTAACTGTTGAACTATCTCCCCAGCCTCTGAATTTTTCTTCACGTTTCTCTTAATTACTTTGAGCTCTTTGCCAAGCAGCCAATAGTTCTTCATTTTAAATGTTGGATTTCTGGTGCTTTCTTTACATGATTGTACTTGAACAATGTGGCATTCATTAGCACCTGGATATTTGAAGAAGCCTGGGGACTTGTCACAGTCACTGGTCAGGACATGTATAGTTTCTTGGTAGGCTACCTGTTTGGCCCCACAAATGGGCTTCCTGCTAGAGTTTTTTGGACAGTTGGCCTTTTGCTAGGGTGTGATGGTCAGTCTGCTTTCCTATGAATGAAGCATTTCCATGAATGAATAATGTTCAGATTGGCGTTTAGGAACATGGATAATCCCAAAGCAGCTACCTCACCGTCAAGTCCTACCTCAGCACAGATGGGACTCTCAGGAGCGCTCTACCATAGACTCTCCCTAGCCCATTTTCTGGCTTTGACTCCTCATTTAACATGTTAGTCAATGTACATGCTCAGCTTTACAGGTGAAAGCTGTGCACAAATAAATCATTTCCTTAATTCCCTATTTGCCTCCTCTTAAAGGACTAGCCTGGATTGCCTATACTGTGTCCAACCTCAGTTTCTTTTCATCTACCTTGAAGGTCTGGGGTCTTGACAGTAGGCCCCCTTAGTGAGTCAGGAACACAAAAAAGCTCTCTCTCTCTCTCTCTGTCTTTCTGTCTCTCTGTCTCTGTGTGTGTGTGTGTGTGTGTCTGTCTGTCTGTCTGTCTGTCTGTCTGTGTGTCCTGTTCCATCCATTTGAACCAGCAGATGTACCACTCTCCATTGTTATATAAACCCTCAGAACAAACATCAAAGGGAATGAAGGGCCCATCATGACATTCAATTGTGGCCTTCCCTTTTCCATATTTAAAAAATCATGGAGCCAATTTCCTCTCTGTTGGAAATACACACACACACACACACATACACACACACACACACACACACACACACACACAATCAGTCAGGATCTGATAAGAAGCAGAACGAGGCAAATCAACCCAACCAAAAAGGCATAGGTGATGATTGAAGAGAGGTGGTAGGCTACCCAAGCCCAGTGTGAGCTGAGCTGTGGATCAGAGCCTGCCGGGAAAGAGCAACCTTGGTGATAGGATAGAGAACCTGAGACTGATCAAGTGGATAAATGCACTGCCTTTTTCCTCCCTCTGTCCACTCTTCTCTACACTTTGGCTCTTTGAGCCCAATAGTAAACCAACCAGTACAGAAGCTGGCATTCACTGATCCGTGTAGGCTTAGAATTTTCAAAACCTACTTTAATAAGGGTTTTCAAATGCTTCAACCCCCGCCCATTATAGCCCACCATCCAAAGGTAGGGGAGAAAAGATGGTAAATAGGACAAGGGATGTAGGCCTGTGTAGAAGTAGTTCTTGCAGGTGTTCTTTCAGTAGTTCTTTCTCTGTTGTCAGGATACCAGCAGTCCAGTTCAGTAGTGTCAGGATACCAGATACAAATCAGCAGCAGTGGCACAATCCAGCAGAAACAGCCAGGCCTCCGAAGAATGGGCATGAATCAGTGGGACTGACCAGAACCAACTAGGGTGCCAGAAGTTCTCAGCCATGCCTCTCTCAACTAAGCAAAGATGCAAGACCAACGAAGTATTGCAAGGCTAGCTATGTAAGCACCCCATCCCTGGTCACTGAGTCCTATTTATACTCTCTTCAAGCACCGTGTGTCCTCATGAGGGTCTTGCCTTAGCAAAACACCATGTGAGTCTTCCTCAGCAAGACACCTCGTGAATCTGCATCACTTGACACAACCAGAAACTTCTACTTAAAATCCCTGGGATTTGGGCCAAATAAAGAAAATCAAACAGAGATAGACCTGGGGCAAACAGAGAAAGACCATCAGACCAGTCCCAGCAGAGGGTTTTCCTAAGGCTAGTCTATAAGCCACACTGAAAGAAAGATGGAAAGGACCTTGGGCTTTGTAACTCCCTCTAACTATGATCTTCTTCTTTTCTTGACTACATTCTTGGAGTAGGCTGTTCCTGTACTCACCACTCCTTATCCACCATTCTTTCTTTCCCATAATCTGCTAATTGGATGCTAAAATATCCTTAGTCTAAAGTCAAAGCAGGGTCTTTGTTTACATCTACTTTGCTCTTTGTGTTATGGTCACGCTGACTCGATTTTCAAACTTTCTCAAGCAGACATCATCTCACTTCTCTGCGCTTCTTGCCTTACCAGCAACACTGTCTGAGACCCAAGCTCCAATTCCTCTTCTCTTGTTCAGCTCTTAGATGTGTGCAGTTTATCTAGTTTCCAATTTGCGATTTTCTTCTCTTAGTCTGCAAATTTCATGTGTGCAAGACAACCAATATCCTTGCCAAATAAACAGTGATTTGCAGATTGCTAATGCTAATTGTTCTGGAACTATAGGAGTTGAACATTTCTACATGAGTGATATTACACTTCTTCCTGGACTGGTGAGATAGCTCAGTGGGAAAAGATGATTGCTAGCAAGCTTGATGACTTGAGTTTGATCTCCAAGACCAATGTCATAGAAAGAGGAAAAACAATCTCCAAATGTTAGTCTATGACCTCCCTGATATTCCTGTGATTCCAGGTCACAATATTGGGTCTTCAGAGGACAAAAGTACTGATTCTAAAAGTTCATTCCTGAATACTGTTCTAAATGTGTTCCTTATACTTCTTGAGTCAGCCTTGGCCTTCGGTGAGCAATGGCATTTTGAACACATTAATAATAACAAGAGTTACCAATTATGCATTGATGTTACATTAAGGACAGAAATTAAAGCCCTTCCCTTTGGAGTCATTTAACCAAGAGTGAGTCCAGATATGAATAATCTACTCTGCTTTCCCTGTGTCTTCCCTCATCCCTGTCTGTCTGCGATATGAGTCTGAATCCATGCCTGCCTAAAGGCTATCTTGTAAATCTGTCTGTCTCTATTTCTCTGTGTATCCCTAACAAGGAGACAATACTGTTTTGAATTTATTGAAGAATACAAAAATATCACATGAGGAAAGAAGGAATTCTTTATAGAAATCTTTCACAGAGTTTGACAAGGGACTAAGTCAGCGACTCCAACTGACCCAGAAAACAAACAGTATTGCAACATCATTGTTTCTTAAGCAATATCTGTATGTTGCAACATTTATGGTGGATTATATAAGGGATTCCCAACCTACAAACACACATGCTTTGCTCATGGGCCAGGGGCATGAGGAGTACATATGTGAGGATCACACTTGTGCATTAGCTTAGGTTGTAAAAGTTGATTTCACCCAGGCAGTGGTGGCTCATACATCTTTAATCCCAGCACTTGGGAGGCAGAGGCAAGTGGATCTCTGAGTTCCAGGATCGCCAGGGCTTCTTATAAAAGTCCTGTTTCAAAAAACAAACGAACAAACAAACAAACAGTTGACTTCTTACACAGAGAAACCCTGTCTACAAACAGACAAACAAACAAAACAAAACCCTTTCCCCAGTCTTCATTCCTCTTCTCCTGTGAAAAGATGGAGAATCCTTCCCCCTTCCCCCAATATCCCTGGCACATCAAGTCTCTGCAGGGGCTAGGTGCATCCTCTTTCACTGAAGCCAGACAAGGCATTCCAGTTAAAAGAACAGGATACACAGGCAGGCAACAGGTTTCAGGACAGCCCCTGCTCCAGTTGTTGGGGGGTCTGCATGAAGAACACTCTGCTCATCTGCTGCATATGTGCAGGAGGCTTAGGTCCGGCCTGTGTATGTTCTTTGATTGGTGGTTCAGTTTCTGACAGCCCCAAGGGTCCCGGTTAGTTAAGAGTCTGTTGGTCTTCCTGCGAAGTTCCTATCCCCTGCAGGGCCCTCAATTCTTCCCCCAACTCTTTTATAAGACTTCCTGAGCTCTGTCCAATGTTTGGCTGTGGGTCTCTGCATCTGTTTCATTTGTCTGCTTGCTGGAGTCTCTCAGAGGACAGTCATGCTAGGCTCCTGTCTGCAGGTATAAGAGTATCATTAATAGTGCCAGAGTTTGGTGCTTGACCATGGGACGAATCGAGGTGTTTTCATAATACTGTATCGCCACTTATGGACTCCATCAATGTGTCTCTGTCTTCAGTTTCTTTTTGTGTCCTTGTCTCCATACAAAGCCCAGTCCTTCTCAGCCTTGGCAACACTTTGAAATGATCTGGGAATTTGACAACTATCCTTGCTTGGATCCATCACTAGTTTTAACTGAAGGGATCTGGACACCTGAAATGATAGTTTTCCTTCTGCTGGATGTGAAACCCAGGACTATATGCATGCTCAGCAAGAATCTACCACCAAGTACCTCCAGTCCAACACTAGGGTTTTTCTTAAAGTTCCTTGAATACTTCTAATGTGGAAGCAAGGTTAGTCACCATTGCTGCAGATCTTCACTTTAGAGAAAGCTCAGGAAGAGGTGACATGCTATAGTGACACTCCATGCAGCAGTCAGGAGAAAATCTAGGCAGGATCTCTTAGATTCCTTCTGAAGCTGCAGCCTCTACAAGCACGGAGGCACCACACTGTGGAGGGGTTGGATAGAAGCTGCTGTATTCAGCCATGTTCCCAGTGACAAGCCCTTCCCCAAATGGGATAGTCACCCAATTTCTCAGTCCCTGTCTGTCTCACCAATGTCTTCTTTCATATGATTTTCTTTAAGGGCCACAAGTAATGAGGATGGCATGGGAAGGCCCCTAGTTATAGCACAAACACTAGTGATAGTAAGTGGTACTAGTCACTCTGCACTTATGCTGTGCCTAAGGTTGCACTGACTGACATAGACATGGCTTCTTATTCATTGCACAGAATTGCCAAAAACTAGCAATTCACATTTTATAAATAAATTAAAAAAAAAAGAAAACCTAGGAGTCAAAGGATGTGGTGGTTTGAATAAGAATGCCTCCCGCCCCAGATTTTTATGTCAACTTGACACAAGCTAAAGTTATCTGAGAGGAGGGAGCCTCGATTAAGAAAATGCCTCCGTAAGATTGGGTTAGAGGCAGGCCTGTAGAGTATTTTCCTAATTAGTGATTGATGGGGGCAGGCCCAGCCTATTCTTGGTGGGGCCACCCCTGGGCTGGTGGCCCTGGGTTCTATAAGAAAGCAGGCTGAGCAAACAATAAGGGGAAAGCAGGCAAGCAGCACTCATCTCGGGTCTCTGTATCAGCTCCCACTTCCAGTTCCTCGTGCTGAGTTCCTGTCCCAACTTCCTCCCATGATGAACGCTGATGTAGAAATGTGAGCCAAATAAACCCTTTCCTCTCCAAGTTGCTTTTGGGCATGGGGTTTCATCACAGCAATAGGAACTTAATTAAGACAACTCCACACAGGTTCATACATATTGGAATGCTTAGTCATCAGATAGTGGAACTGCTTGAGAAGGCTTAGGAGGCGTGGCCTTGATGGAGTGAACGTGGCCTTGTTAGAGGAAGGGTGTCACTCAGAGTGGGCTTTGAAGTTTCAATTGCCTAAGCCAGGCCTAGGTGCTCTCTCTTTCTGCTGCCGCAGATGAAGAGGTGGAACTTTCAGTGATATCTCACTACCATGTCTGCCTGTGCATGCCACCATGCTTCTTATAATGATGATAATGGACTAACCCTCTGAAACCAAAGCAAGCTCCAATTGAATGCTTTCTTTTTATAAGAGTTGCCATTGTCCTGGTGTCTCTTCACAGCAGTAGAACAGTAACTAAGGCAGAGGGGTTCTACAGCATCACACAGTAAGAAAATAACAGTGCCAGGGTTAGAAATGTCCGTCTGGTTCCACAGTCACAGCTGAAGGTCGTGCCCTTTGAGGGGCAGGTTGTTGAGTGAGTTAGCTCCCTCAGATAATTCAGTTGTGTTCCACTGAGGAATTTCAGTGCCATAATCCAAAGATGCAGTGGACAGTAGAGATTCCCAAATGAGACAGAAGAAAACTTACTCCCAACTCCATTGCCATACCCACACAATAAGTGCTTAGGGTCAAACCCACCCTGAATCAGTTGTCTACCAGGTATAGGGTATTGCACAAATGATGGTTTTATCCACTCATTGGTGTTATGTCTCAACTTTCTCTACACTAATCATTGACAGACTGTTGACAGATATTTGAACCTGAGGTCAAAGTGAACATGCCCAGTTATACAACTAAAAAATCTATAAAGACCTTTATCAATTGAGTGTGTGTCACTGTAGAATTCTCTGCTATGGTGGGCCACAGCGGATGATGCTTTAGCACAATGAAGGCGCTCACCACAGCATTGCTTCTAGTCACCCTGCAGTGTTCCCATGCCCTGACTCCCACCAACTGTGATGCTTCTGAGCCTTTGGCTGAGAAAGCTCTAGACCTGATCAATAAAGGGCGGAGGAGTGGCTATGCTTTCCAGCTGCTTCGGGTCTCTGACGCCCACTTGGACAGAGTGGTAAGACATGGCCAATGGAGGAACTGAGCTGGGGGACAGTGTGGAAGGGGGGAAGGGACTGGAGCCTCAGAGCAGACTACTATGCATAATTAACAACTTTAATCAGGTTTCTTGTTTAGTTTCTGAGGCTTGCTCTAAATCGTTGGGTTTGCCTCTAAGCTAATTTTTGTTATTGGCATGTCAGTAACTATGCATCAATCTGTAACTATTCTGAGGCACTCTAGAGCCCACTGAATACTGGGAACTCTGAAAAGAAAACTAGAATTAAGCCGGGCGGTGGTGGCACATGCCTTTAATCCCAGCACTTGGGAGGCAGAAGCAGGCGGATTTCTGAGTCTGAGGCCAGCCTACTACAGAGTGAGCTCCAGGACAGCCCGGGCTATAAAGAGAAACCCTGTCTTGAAAAACCAAAAAAAAAAAAAAAAAAAAAAAAAGAAAGAAAAGAAAAAAGAAAACTAGAATTAGCTGCGCTTCTCAAGAAAATGATAGTCTGCAAAATTCATGTAGGCCAACTGTGAAAAATAGGATAATTTTGTGACCATATGCATACCAAAGATATTGGAGTGATTTAATGACAGATCTTTTAATACTGAAAGAGAAATATGTTGGTGTGTTCAGGAGAATAGACAGGATTTGAATAGGTGTATTCTGGCATCACATCTTCCCGAGAGAGCAGGGAATTAGCAAGAGGGAAATTGTAAAGCAATTGACTAAGCAGATAGGGATTATGGGAGTTCAGCAGGGCTCTGGAAAGGCTGGATGGAGTCCAGTGTGAAGTTGGAAGAGAATATGAGCTGATCTTGAAGCCAAGCAAGCTTGCTGTCTTGTTTAAATGGTATGGTTGTTTAAATCAGATTTGATAGCCTAATAGGGACTATGGAAAGATGTTGTTTCCTCGCCCTGCAGAAATAACAGTAACAACAACAACAACAATAACAATTTCATACATTTTCTTCGATGGAATGTCTGAAAGCAGGAAGCCAGACCAGGAACAACTGCAGATGATACACAAAGCAGTTTATACTTTTACAGCATTGGAGATGGGGAGCCACTGCCAAATGCAGAAAACAGGAACACAGGAACTTAAGATAACAAACAACTTAATGACCATCTGTCACACTCTGGGGTCTTTATCACATTTGTCTGACACAGGGTCAAAGAGACTGCTACCACTGAATAGCAGAACAGAAAGTGGAGGGAGGGGACAGAGGCAAGTGATAGGGACATGGGCTAAGAAGCTGCTCATGTATCCAGGAATGCAGAAATGAGGACCAGACCAAGGCAGTGGTCAAAATACCGACTAGACAAGGCATGAGAGACAGTTCAAGGAAAGACTATTCAGCCTTGTTTATGATTGGCTAAAGGAAAAAAGCTGATAGTCACAAGATGTATTTATATTTTTTTTTCCTTGCTTGTTTTGTCCTGCTGCTAAAGAGGGAAAGCCAGTTCAGGAGCAGAGGACAGGTCCACAAATACAGACCAGAGGAGGTGATAGCTATTGTCACTTTTAACTCTGGGCTTGCACTTTCAACACCTACCCAAACCAATGGGCCATTTAGTAGCAGCTTTTTAAAGGTGAGAGAAGAAAGCTCTGGATCCATAGTAGTAGCACTTGGGACTGTGAAGCAGAAAGATCAGTTCAAAGCCAGCCTGGATTCTTCCATCCTGGGATCCTGTTCTTTAAAAAAAGAGAGAATGAACAATGGACAGAGAAATGGAAATGGGAAGAAAGAGAGAGAAAGAAAGGGGAGGGGGCAGGAAAGAAGGGGGTGGAGGAGAATGGAGGAAAGAAAGGAAAGGGAAAGGGCACGGGGCTCAGCAGTTAAGAACACTGGCTGTTCTTCCAGAGGACCCACATGGCAGCTCACAATTGTCTAGAACTCCAGTTCCAGGGGATCTAACACCCTCACACAGACATACGTACAGGCAAAAACACTAATGTACATAACATAAGAATAATTAAATCATTAAACAAATAAAATGTACAACAACAACAACAGCAACAAAAACCAAAATAAGTCAAAACAAATAAAATCTCTGTGTTCCCGCATCCTCCTGACCTGTTCCTTCCTTGTCACCCTTAGGGAACAGCCACCATCTACTACTTAGTTTTAGATGTGATAGAATCTGACTGTTGGGTCCTCTCCACAAAAGCCCAGGATGACTGTCTTCCAGCTAGGTGGCCGTCTGAAATAGTAAGTAACTGGGGCCACTGGGTTCTTCTCATCATCTAGTGTTCCATCTAGTCCGCTCAGTCACGGGAGTATAGTCTGGGCTATGCTGGGCTACCACAATGGGAAAAGCTGCTGGTGCTTGAGATTCATGAAGATGATATTAACCTTCAAGAGTACCCTCTCAGTCCCCTGGGATAGCATCACCAGCTTCAAGTCTTGGGCAAATCAGCAAACATCCTTAGACTTCAGTCTTCTCAACTCTAAAGGGAGAGTTGGAGTACATGGACTCCAATGTTGTTTCCAGACCACATAGCCTCTGAATTTATGAACTGGAAATTGTGTGCTGTGAAGACTGATCCCATTAGCAGTAATGGCCATAGTGGCACTGAGGAATTAGGTCTCGTCCTGCATGTGGATCTGGATACTGAGGCCAGTCTCCCTTTCCCAGGTGAGAGTACAAAGCAATGAGCAGACACAGGATGCTAATTCCAGAAGTGAAAGCTTTACACACCACGGGGCTCTATCTGGTGCTGCCTCCTTTGAAAACATTTAGGATATGGTCACAGTCCTTTTAAATAGATGCTCTCATAGGGTGTGTGGTGCCAATGGTGTGCAGCACAGTCTGCGATAAGACAGATGGAGAGACTCCCGAATACACATTATGTGAGATGGTCACTGTGTTTCCTCACAGTCAACCTGATTCACACAGGTCCATAAGTGCTTAAAATCCTCTTGTTTTACAGGTGATTGGACAATGTAAGGTAATAGTCACAAGATACTCAAATGAGTCTCAAGATCTTATCGTGAATGGCTATAACTGCACCACAAGTTCTGGTAAGGTCATCTGCTGGATTGCTAATTGATTCCAAGTTAACACGGAACTCGGTCTTCACAGTGGCACCCATTATGTAACAGCATGACAGAATGGGAGGGGGAGCTTGTCCACTGGGTCTCCATTAATTAGAATATGAATCTCCTGAAAATACACAGAGGGCAGCTCCCTGCCTCTGGCATACCTCTCTTAAGGAGATTTATTGTTTAGAGGCGGGGATTTAAAGAGACAATATACACCACTGCAGAGGCTTAGTTCTGAGGTTAGGCCGGCTTGAATTCAAACCTCATTATTTACCAGTTACTTCTTAGTCAACGCTGTTGAGATGGAACCATGTCTTCATCTTGTCTAGATTTTGCCCCCAAGGTCATGGCATTAAATGCAGGCCAACTCCAACTGTTTTATCTCCAGAGTAATTGTAGCAAGGGGCACAGGTTACTTAATCTATTTTGGCTTTCCTTGTTTAGAATTCTTGTTGGAATGAAATAGAATGTGTATGCTTTGCAGAGTACTTAGCACTTGGTAAAAATTGGCTTCAATAGTTAAAAGTTCTATATTCCAGTGTATAAACTAGTTATATACTGTGTTATATAGTGCCAATCATCTCACACAAGGCTATGAAGTAAATGTTATGGAACTTTTTATTGCAGAGATAAAAATAATTGGGGCTGGCAAAGATTCCAAGGTGTGTTCTCAGAAGCTCATTGAGACATGACAAAGAATGCTATTTCTCCATCTCTACAGACTCTTTAAGTATTTTAGTATTTTTCCAAAAGAATTAGGGTTTTTGTTGTTGTTGTTGTTTGGTTGCTTTTTTGTTATTGTTTATTTGGTTGTTTTTAACAAAACAGGATTTCTCTGTTTAGCCCTGGGTGTCCTGGAACTCACACCTCCTGAATGCTGGGATTAAAGGCATGTGCCATAATTTTAAAAGGACATATTTTAGCTCAAACAGTCCAGGAGTTCAGACTGAACAGTCAACAACACAGTACCTTCTACAGCAAATTGCTTATAGAGGTGTGAGTCTGAAGGCAGCTACAGGGTGATTCTCTGTGGGTGAAAAAGAAAGGAGAGAGAGAGAGAGAGAGAGAGAGAGAGAGAGAGAGAGAGAGA